TGATCAAATTTGATCAATTATGAGAGTTGTGGCTTTTCTGAGAGTTGACAGAAACCCTGACAAGAAACAAATGTATTGACCACCAATTTCCACCAGGCCCCCGGTGCGGAAACCTGTAAGATCACAGATACGTTTACTCGATGTAGAATCCCCACAAAGCCATTTCCATGAATCGCCCTGATGAGCGTCATATGGGGATCCATCTACCTGCTATCTGGATGTGAAAACCGCAGAATTCTCTCAGAATTTAATCCGTAGAATAACCATGTTCCTCAGCTACTGTTGTCTCAGAATGGGTTCAGTGAGCTTTGTTTAGCCACACCCTCAAGAAAATGGGTGTTACTCTCTATCCACTTGGATGCGCTGGACCCGGGTATCGTAAGTGCTTTACAAACCATTATATAAATCTATATGATACAAGTCACTCATCCAACTGAGGATGTTCCCTAAATCTGATAGGATTAGTTCATATGATTCATATGTTTGCCCTTTTGTTCAACATAAATATGGACACTCGCCATTGGTATATTGATCATTTCAACCATGGATTAACATATCCTTTTGTGAACAACACATACAAGAGGATATTAAGCCCTTACTCAGTGCTTTAAGTGGTTGATACCCCTGATGATCGAAAGTCCCCCAAGATGCTAAGTGGGTTTTCCAATCTACAAACCTGGTTTTCACTACGGTTTATAATGATTGTTTTTAATGAACCGCAGTTTGTAAGTGGCTTATAACTACCCGAATGAATTCAGTCGGATGAGTAGGGGCAACATCCAGTTTCGATCACTGCGGTTGTAACCCAACTTGCCAGTCCCTTCTCTCCAGTATTTAGAACAATATATTATATTATTATATTAAATTAGATATTATATTATATGATATTAAATGATATTATATTTTTTTTATATTAGATACTATATTATATGTTTTTAATATTATGTTTTATTATAATATATTATATTATATTGTATTATTATACTATTTTTTTTGTTATATTATAATATATTATATTATATTATATTATATTATATTATAACATATTACATTTTATTATATTAAATTAAATTATGTGATATTAAATTTTATTTTATTATATTGTATTATATTATTTTATTTTAGATATTATATTAGATGGTATTTTTTACTATATAATATAATATTATATTATAATTTATTTTATTATATTAGATATTATATTAGATATTATATTTTATTATATTATACTACATAATATTATATTATATTATACTACATAATATTATGTTTTATTATACTATATAATTTAATATTATATTATATTATATTAAAATATATTATATTATATTATATTATATTAGATGTTATATTAGATATTATATTATACTATATTATATTGTATTATATTGTATTATATTAGATATTATATTAGATTATATTATATATTTTATTATATTATATTATACTATATTTTTTGTTATTATATTATATGATATTGTATTACAATATTTATTATTATATATTGTATATAAGTTTTTACATTAGTTATTATACTAGTTTTTCTATGTCAGTATTCTAATTATCTGAGTACAATGACTTTTTAGCAAATTTGATTTCCCCATAATAACCCTATCATTACTTTTATCCCAATGACTAGTTATAACCCTACAGGGTTGTTATCCCAATTTATAATACAAGCCTCTAGCTCCTCAGGAGAGTTATTAAATCCTAAGGGTTGATAATCCACATGAGGCTTTCCAATCCACGGGGGAAAAAACATGCAGTCGTCATGGATGACCATGACTTAGTATAGAAACAACCTATGGTGACATATATAATGTATATATATATATAATCTGCCATGACTTAACCACTGTCCATCCTGGTCCATTCTGGCATCATTCTGGTCCCCACTCTATATTTTAGGTAGCCATGTTGACTTAACCCTCAATGACGACTACTGGTGCTAAACTACGCAGGGAATTTTCGGGAATGATCCATTTCATCACTATCAATAATAATCCCAAGCAACCCCCAGCAACCCATCCATTCCCTTTTTTTTCAGCACCAGTAAGATGATCAGCCCCCACCAGAACGACTTGGAATCAGAGCTGGCCCAGAAGCTGCTTTCGGATCTGCAGGGTGCAGCAGGCCGGCACGATGGAGAAGTGTTCCCCCGGGATTGAATAGTGGTTACGCTATGTTGCATATGTGTACATATAACATTACATAATATATATATATATGTATCATTATACATTGGACATGCATAATAGGCGTATATTTTATGTATATATAATATTTGTATATATACACATACACATACACATACATGTATGCATGTGTATGTATATACACATGTATGTATACACAAATTTGGTATTCGCTGCAACCCGGCTGTTGATTCAGCTTTGCCCACCTCAAGACAATCTAGATTCGTGGGTCGATCTTCACATCCGAGGGCCACGGGAGTTTTTTCACTTACATTCCCAATCGTGAGGTCACGTACACAATGGTGAAGTCGCTTGTACATTTCTCCATGTGGAGGTTTATGGCATTAATGTAATTCTATGTCTTATGTTCGATACAATCAACCTTTGCGCAGTGCCTTTCAAACAGGATGTGTGAAACTGGCGATCTTATTGTGTACCCCACAACAGCGGATTAACTTTTATTAAAGTTGAGGAGCACACAGAAGAAAAGCGCAAGTGACCTCATTTCTCACGTTTCTGCCGAATCGCTTCACCATGTTTTTTCTCCAATATGAATGCATTGACCGATGCCGAAAGTCCCACAAGCGATTGTTGGGAGTATGACATAAATATATTGTTTTCTGGCAACTCATCACATTTGTCACATCATGTGTTGTTTCAGACATCGCACTGCACCATGCACCATGCTCTGATCGATGTTCCTTTTGGCCGGCATTGGCCGGCATTTTGGCTCAGCAAATTGTGGTTTTGGTTCAACTAGACGGACCTTGGCGCTGGGAACTTGATTCCACCGAACTCAACCGTACACAGTACACAAGTACTGTTGAGTTGAGCCCTGGGTCACGCGATGCCTAACTTTTTTCAGATGTCTTGAAAAATGCCATGCGACTTTGAGAAGATTGGTGCAATGTGAGGCCCCCAAGATATGTTTGTTGGTTTAGATTCGCCCCAGTAACTGACTATAGTTATAAATACCATAAACCATAGTTGTTGGTAAAAGGTTGACAATTTTTAGATTCCACCCCTGGGATGTTGATCCCAATTGTTCATGGTATGGCCGTATGGCTCAGGGTTTTTTAGCCCACCATCGTGGTTATATACGTTTCCCTGGTCCTTAAAAGGAAATGCGCCTTGGTCGCATCTGAAAATGGGGGATACCCATAAGATAGTTATTTTATGTTATTTTTGTTTAAGGAATGTGATGATAAATCCTTGGATTTTACTGGATTTTGGTGTACCCTACTTTCAGGCAAACCCAATTTGTGAGTGAGTATCTGGGTTACTGTAATATTTAGGATGTAAACCCACATTACAGGCTTAATACGTTGAACAGAACTTTGATTGTAAAGTCAAGCCCTGTCCAGAAGGCATCCAGAAGGCAGGGCCCGCAACATTTTGGCCTTATTTTGCATTGTACATTGCTGCCATAGTCTTCCATATCTATGTATTCCATATAACCCATATATATATATAGTTTTATTTTTTATTTATATGTATATGAGTCATGACTCTCTCAGCGAAATACACCGCAAGTGACTGACTATTTCCTTCGTTCGTCCGCGTGGCCCAAAGGGAAATACATCGCGCGGTCGGTACCGGAGCAACAGATGAATGACCTCACCCAGCAGATGATGTCGTATACAAATATGGCCAAACGAACAGTTATTGCCATGGGATCAGAAGCAATTCCGAAAAGCACTTGGGCCAGTGGATATCATAAATTATACCCTCTGGTAATTTAACATAACTATGGAAAATCACAATTTTTCACGGGAAAATTCACTATAAATGGTCATTTCCAATAGCTACGTTCAATTACCAGAGGGTAATCCCATAGAAATAGCCGTGTTGGGCCAAAACTATTAGGGAAATATAGGGAAATCATCCCCGGTGACCGAAGACTTCGCAGGATGGCCAAGGATTGTTGTGATGCCTAGTGATAGAAAAAAGACGTGCGAAGAGCCGTCAGAATATCTTGTTGGGTATCCTGCTTTGGTTATGTCTATAATCATCAGACATGACATTAGATATGATTATAGTCCAATATGATTATAGTCCAATGAATCTAGAATCTAGAATAATCCATACGTGTGTCATGGTTTGCCCAGAGACATACTATGTTGACGATAAAACCGATGATGATAAATTAGAGTTGGGGTGCCTAATTCGATCACAAACCCATATTCACCAAGACAACGATGGAGATTCAACTCAGTTTACTAAGTAATTTCAGAATGCTTTGGTGAAGGGAATATTGATGTTTTCAGATGTTGAGATCTCACATTATCCCAATTAATCCGATCATGATATCTTGTCTTGGGACCTCAAAGATTGGAGAAGTTGTTGCGCCCCAGTGGTAACGATATCGTTTTCCACAAGAAATTTCAAGGTGTCATATAGAGCAATATGATGAAACTGAACAAACAATGTCACTGGAACCAGCATATAACTGTATAACATAATATGTTTAGTTTTTTGTTAACAATCGTCTAATAACACATATATATATATAACATGATATGATATAACATATGCACGGCACCAAATATGCTTTAACACACTTTGGTTCAAATCATCTAATATATAATGATGTAATATACCAATATAATATATTTAGTTTAATATATAATTAATGTCAATATCAGGTAATATAACATAATACAATATGTGATCATATATGATACTATATGATAATGTATGATACTATATGATGTAGAAAACACAACAACATGAGGTAATATAGTATGATACAATATATATATATATATAATTATCATCATTGTTTTTTGTATTACATTACACTACATTATACATGCTGTTTTATTGTTTTATCGTTTATGATAAATTGTATTATATTGTATAATATTAGAATAGTTTAGACTATTTTGGATTACTATATTATATTGCTGTATAAGTTTACGTCGTATCATATCATGTTTGATTATATTGTATGTGCTGTATTGTATCATACTGTGTTAGATGTTTAGTCTATATCGTTTTCCCAATTATATGATTATATGTGTTTATGCATTGATATAGTATTTTTGTTGCTGTTAAAACTTTCAAAAACATAGTATAATATATTATGTATACATTGTTCTAATGTACTCGTACTTTAGTTCACTTAATATCGATTAGAATATAAATATAATATATATATATATACATGTATTATGACATATTATGCTTGACTATGTTTATTTTTTGTATCATATTATATTACTCCTATTATTTGTTTTATATTGTATTATATTATATATTGTATTATACTATATTATATTGTATTATTTTGTATTGTAGTAGTGTCTTGTATTACAGTGTGCTATACGACGTGTTATTGTGAATTGTATTGTACATTGTACAGTATTGTATTGCATCGTAACGTTCATGGATTACATTATATTTTATAATATAGTATGTCCTGTTGCTGCATATTACTACATTGAATTATGTTGCACTTTATATTGTATGTTATACAATGTTAGGTGTTCTTGTCATGTAGTTTGTATGTTATATTTTTATATTATCTTGGGTGCATGATATGCTGATAGATTCCTGACTAATTCGTGCCACATGTATTTTAGACGAAACTGTTGGTGCATTTATTGTCCAGAAGCACATCTCTATATCTACTTCAGAGCGTTGATATAGTTTGTGCCCATATCATGCTCCAAAAAATGACCCATATGTAACTAAATGTTCCATACATGGAGTATATGGGTTGTTCCATGGACTTCTTTGCATCACGAACATGCAACCAGTCATACTTTTTCTCGGGTGACTCAATCCTGTCCCGACCGTGCTCCGTTTCAAGCGCTTGGAGAAGAGGCTGGGTGGATCATCCCAGAATTTGATGGTATAGTTACTATAGTTATGCACTCATGGACTAACCAACATGGCCATGGGCCATGGGGTTATATAGTGATATTAAGATATATTAAGAACCAACTAGGAACTACGGAACTAGTTGAAATTTCTGGCTGCCTGTGACAGATCAACAATGGCCCCTGCGGGGCCTTGCTGGTGTGATGTACCACATCTTTTTCTCGGCTCCGACACCAATTCAGTAACATTTACAACTGTTAGTGGGGCAATAGCTATCCAATTTACAGGAGACCTCCGCATGCACGATGGGAAGAAACACCATGGGTTTCCTCCAGATCCCGTAGAAACTCTCAGACAGACAGCATCGTTTTTTGTACCCAAGAGCAAAAATGCCGTCTGAATGTTGTGAAAAACAATGTTTAACACTGTTTCACTGGAAACTCTCAGCTTTCTCAAGGGTCAATGTAGAAAACTTCGTGGCTCAGTGTGAAGTTCTGAGCTCAGTGGATCTCAGTGGATCTCAGCGCCTCTTTTCCACGAGACTCGGGCAGACTTCTTGGGCGGAATGGTTGGTATTGCAGCCAAGCGGTTGATGTAATGTTTCAATATGTTTCAGGTGTTATCAGGTCCGTAAGTTCGAACAATTGCCGGCATGCGAGTTTTTGTTCTCCCTTGCTCTCTTGCTCACTCTTTGTCTTTCTCTCCCTCTCTCTGTGTCCAGTTCCCAGAAAGTTGTTTTGTTGAGCAATCAGAGTTTTTTCTTATATCATCATTGCTTCAGCATTTTCTTAAAATGTATATGGGAATGTTGTTTCTGTATGCATTGCACAAAATGACGCTTTAAGCAATTTGGAAGACTGAACCTTGAGATGCCTCGTGCTATGCAGTTGCGCCCCATAGCAACTGGGAATGACGACCGTCATCGATGGTGTAGAGTATCCCAAATCCGAAATCTCATGCTCAATGACGGTCGATGATCATATTCCTATAGTCTGTTTATATCTGTTTGTTTTTGGGCTCATCCCAGATGAGCAACCGCATTTACCACATTTGAAACGAATAACTTACAACTAATAATTACTTGACTGTGATCAAGCACGTTTGCTTTGAATCAATCAGTAGGGGCAGAACAATGTAGGGGGGAATCCAAACACGAGGCATTCTTGACATAATATCGGAAAAGGTGGCAGCGCGACAGCTTGACAGTGTTGGAAAACGAGGTCAGCACCAGAAGCATTTTGCTTGGAATACTACAATGTAGATGGTCACTCCTTCAATATTCTTCCCTTCCCAAATGTACAAAATATTTGACGACAAGCCAATGCTAGGTTTCGGTTTATTATGGTTTGTTTTCATCCATTGGCCCTCGCAAAACCATGACATTTTTATGGGTATGGCATGGTATGGGTCAAACCAAACAAACTCACTGATGAGCAATGGAGTTTCGGTGCCCATCATTAAATGCAGAGATTGGCCCTTAGTAGTTGCAAATGGAGTAATTAGCACCCCAGTCTATGGTTACCTATGAGTTGCATTGCATACACGGGTGGAGACAATCGACACGACCATATTTGTTTCATTATTTTGAATGTATTGCCAATTCCGAAGTGGGAGAAGGACCCCTCATTAAGTATACATGTTAGTAATATATATATATATATATATATGTGTAAATTATATGTGTATATTATATTGTATTACAAATTGTATTACATATTGTATTTATACATATTATATATATATACTAACTGTATACATACTTTTATATATGTCTTTCTCTATACCAGCTATACACGGGTTCTTTTCCAGACTAACAGCAGCACAGCGCGACCCAAGAAGCGTCCTTGGACAGTAGCAGCGTGTCCCGGGCGTTTCAAAGGCGCCCCTTGCGGGACGGGGGCCGGTCTGGCCGGCGTCGGTCAGCCACTACAGGCCGGGACAACCAACCGATGGCCTTGAAAAAACCACCAAAAAGAAGAAAAACTAAGGGATAAAACGGATAAAACCTGAAATTTTGATGCATCACGATGATTTTACGTGGGTTTGTTGGAAAATGGACGAACATGATTATATACCATCATATTAGGAGGGGCCTTATTTTCAGGCAAACACATGTGCCCCATGTAAATGGGAAACGGGTCGCTGAGGGTACCGGGCCCGGAAATAACCAAATGGTGTTTTGTTTTTCCCTGTGCCGTGTAAGCTTGGGTTTAGTAACAAAACTAGGGCTGCGTCACCGAGATTGCAAGAAATCAAGACGGGATGTTCCCCAACTTAGTGGCTGTACTTCGGCCCAGAAGTGTATTAGCTGACCACTTCTAAGATCTCCAAGTTTTTTTGAGAATCTGACTTGATGAGCCCAAAGCTACAGTAAGTGGATTCAATATACATATAAAATTAGGGGTCGGTACATATCAAACTGGGGTGATCATATGTATACAAGTAAAAACCTATTTTCTTATTCTTTTCGAGCCGCTTTTTCGGGGGTATTGTCAGTGGTACTATAGTCCCATCAGACTTTCCTTCGGGATTGGGATCGGTAGGATGAGAATTCCCAATGACTACCCTATACTGTAAATTGTGAGAGTTTGCGAACTGCAATGGAAGCCATGGCCCATTTAGATCATTTATTTGGATGACATTGATTTAATGAAAGAAAGGTGGTTTTAGGTTATCCTTCATGTGGCAAACTGTTCGTTTACCAGAGGGTACTGCGGCTACCACTTGCAGGCGCTCCAACGGTCATGCACAACAGGCATAAGGAACAGAGGCGCCGGAGTCGGAAGCATCATCCCATGCTGGAAGTACATGGGCCAACCTATGGGTGGAAGCGGTGTTTTTTAGACCCACATGTACCGAGAAATGGTTGATGTTGATTCATCTCTGGTGTGTTTTTGTAAAGAATGTCCCAAATAGTCCGTTTTTTTCATTTAAAATGTCATTGCATGGTGGCGGAGAACTTCACGGATGGTGGGAAAGTGACCATAGTATACGTATAATTTTTTTTATTGTTATATTATAAATTTTAAAATATACGTATTAATTGTATACGTATTAATCTATATAATTATAACTATTAGATACATTGTAATGAATGTGTATTAAAACTGGTTGGTGGTTTGGAACATTTTATATTTTCCATATATTGGGAACAATAATCCCATTTGACTAATATTTTTCAGTGGGGTTGAAACCACCAACCAGAAAAAATATGTTGTATAAATCATATAGATATATAACCAGCAAAGATTCGTGGATTTTGAATCCACAAGAACCGGTAACCGGTGCTCAGGTTTTTTTTCTTCGAAGCCGAGAAGACATCTTCCAAGCCATTTACATAGACTTGGACCCTCCAAGTGCCTAGCAAAACATGCTAATATACCCATGTGTTTACCAATGTTTTAAGTACTTGGAGGGTTTATAAGGATATTATTTACCTCCAAAAACGGTGATTATCCAAAACTGTGTTGGTTCACTGAATGGTACTTGGTGGGTTCCTAGGAATCGTAAGTGGGTTGGTTCAGCCCAGTTGCGCCCCCTCTCTGAAGCCTAGAGCCTCTGGAACACCCACACTGGAACCACCCCCGGAACATCAAAATCTCCAACACCATCTGGAACCAATCCCGGAACCGCGGAAGCTGCACCGAGCCTTTATTTGGGCCAAGACCCCCAGCTAACTGTGTTGGAGAAAACAATTCGAACTATTCTTAAACTGAATGTATATATTTTAGGATAGATCCCCCTAAGTTCCAAAGCAGTCTATCACAGATTATCATCACAACTGTTGTTGCTTCAATACTGTGAAGTTCAATCATCACAAACATCACAATCATCGCCTTGAAGTTCAATCCTCATATTTTTTGCAGATGTGAAATCTCTGTTTTGTTTCTGGGGACTCTGATCATCGGCCATCTCCAAAAGGAGGGCTCCTGCGCTAGACGATCACGTGACGAGTCTGATACTGCGGAGGCTACCTCCCAACATCTCAAATTCCAGGCGCGGAAGCAAAGCTCTTGTGGGATGAACGATTTTTCTCAACATGCCATGTCCATCCCATAGCCATGACCATCCATGACCCATGGGGGTCATGGTACATCATCCCAATGCTATCCCAAAAGAGGTATATACATGAGACTCACAGATCGAAATTTGGAATGGTTTACTGGTTGGTGGTTTCAATCATTTTTTATTTTCCATAGTATATGGGATAATCCTTCCCATTGACTAATATTTTTCTCAAGATGGTTAAAACCACCAACCAGTTTATTATTGGCTTTACCCCATGATCTGTATGCAAAATCCCCAAGAAAACACATCCCTTGAGATTTTGAATCTTGGTTCCACAGTAACCCCTGCTGAACTGGGCACCACCTTGTACGACAAGCCCGTGGTGTCCATCGTTTTTTTTGGGTGGCTACCGCAGTAGCAACCTCAAACATCCTGAAACCATGGACCATGTGGGAAAAAATCCCCCAAAATGACCCTGATTCAGCTTTGTAAATGATGACATATGAATATTATATATATACAGATAGATAGATTAGATATAAATTAGATTAGATTAGTCTATTAGATCAGATTAGATTAGGTAAGATAGATAGATAAATCAGATAGATAAGATACATAAGATAGATAAGAATGATAATACAGACAAGATAGACAAGATAGACTAGATAGATTATATAGATGAGATAGACCAGGTAGACTGTATAGATTGGATAGATTGTATAGATTAGATGGATTAGATAGATTAGATAGATTAGATAGATAGGAAAGGAAAGGAAAGGAAAGGATACATAGATAGAAATATAGATAGAAAGAAAGGTAGATAGATAGAAAGGTAATGATAAACAGATAATGATATATAGATACTGATAGATAGATAATGATAGATAGATAACGACCGATAGATAAAGATAGGTAGATCGATAGATAAATAAATAAAACTATATATATATATATATAGATAGATCGATAGATCGATAGATTAGATTAGATAGATAGATTAGATCGATAGTTTAGGTGGATAGATTAGATATATAGATCGATGGATGGATGGATAGATAGATAGATAGATAGATAAATAGATAGATAGACAGATAGACATATAGATAGATAGACAGATAGACAGATAGATAGATAGATAGACAGATAGATAGATAGATTTGATAGTTAGATAGATAGATAGATTAGATAGATAGATAGATAGATAGAAAGATAGATAGATAGATAGATAGATGAATAGATAGATAGACAGATAGACATATAGATAGATAGATAGATAGACAGATAGATAGACAGACAGACAGACAGACAGACAGATAGATAGATAGGTAGGTAGATAGGTAGAGATAGATAGATAGATAGATAGATAGATAGATAGATAGATAGAGAGGTAGATAGATATATAGATAAACATAAATACATATCAACAAATATATAGACAGAAAGACACATATATGGGATAGAATAGATCGATTGGATAGATAGATAGATTAGATAGATTAGATGGATTAGCTAGATTAGCTAGATTAGATAGATTAGATAGATAAGATAGATAAGATAGACAATATAGATCAAATAGATACGATAGAAATATAGATAGATAGATAGATAGATAGATAGATAGATAGATAGATAGATAGATAGATAGATAGATCCATCGATAGATAGATAGATAGGTAGGTAGGTAGATAGATAGATAGATCGATCGATAGATAGATAGGTAGGTAGATAGATAGATAGATCGATAGATCGATAGATAGATAGATAGGTAGATCGATAGATAGATAGATAGGTAGGTAGATAGATAGATAGATAAGTAGATGATAGGTAGGTAGATCGATAGATGATAGATAGACCTATAGATCTATAGATCTATGTACCTATGGATCTATGGATCTATGGACATGCATCAATAACCCGCCGCAGATGTCATTTGTACCCACGTACCCACAGGATCACCCAACGGTGTACGAATGTTGGGCTCATGTGGGGTACCTGAAAAGCCTGACATGAGAAAAGCATCCGGCAATACATTTCAGAAATCGTTTTCCTGGTCGGCAGTGACCACTGTACTATTGGCTACTGTCCAAAATTGGGCCCTAACTCAATCCAACAAATGGGCTGGTGTGTTGCAAATTATGACCGCCTTGTTTTCTTGTTTGCCATGGACCAAAAACATGACCCATAGATCCGAGGCCTAAAAACAGAAAATCATGCCCCAGATGGAGTAGAAAACAAGTCTGCAAACAATTTGGCACCATATTTTGAGATAGATTGAGATAGATTGAGATAATCCACATATGCAGGCAGTAGTAGGTGGCTGAGAACCCTGATGTTCCCAAGCTGCGGTCACAAAGAGGTCACAGGAAGACAACCACAATCTCTGCGGCCAAAACCCAGCGGAGATTTCCTTACCCTCCGGCAATCAAACAGAGCAATGGTAGATCCACCATAAATGATATTAAATGATCATAAAAGCTTTTATCTGGAAACAACTTATAATATAAATATGTATATATACAATTATGTTTTTTGTATACATAAGTGGGTGATTGTCCATTGCCATGCTTGACTACCGGAGGGCAGTCTGCAGTCTTGTTTTACTCCAGATGACTGAAATCAAAAACAAATCCGTCAGGAGTGGCCGCTAAGATATGGAACAGCCACAGCAAAAGTTACATTTGTGGCGCTCCAACCATCTTGCCTCCCTTCCTGCCTCCCTTCCCACCATGAACCACACCAATCACTTATTCCGATAAACACCTTACATACTAATTACCAATTACAATTTGCAATCGTACTTGGTAGTTCACCCAAACAAAAGTAAGTGAGTTAGCTCCCCAGTCATAACTGGACATCGCCGCTATTACCCCTACTTTCCCTACTTACATTTGGTGTTGTATGTAGTCCAGCAAGATCTGCCAACCTTCAACGGACAGATCGCCCTTAGACCTTGCGATCGCAGGCTGGTCCAGCACTTGGACACCATTGTGCCGGGCAAATACGACTTTATTCATGTTCCGCACCATCAACAGACTGGGCCTCTTGTGCCCAAGGGGGTACCCAAGGGCGGGAAGTTTTACCATGGGAGTATGAACAAATTATAGGACCGGATAACCCCACATGTTACCAATTTCTCTAGACTTAGACTGAGCATAGAAAAGCAAGAAGGGAAGAGAAAGTATAAGAGTGATGGAGGGGGCTAGGCGGATGAGAAGGATGCGGTCAGAAGTGGGGTGATCGCAAGTGCTTCTGTGCTGACCTCAGTGAGTTGTTCAGATGCCCGAGTTGACATGCCCACTTCAGAGCACACCTGTTCAGAGCTATGTTCATCATAGCATAGCATCACCAATAACATATCATAAATAACCCGTGATCATTTAAAAATAGCTCTATATAGAAAGGCTGCTCATGATGACCAGGTCTTTGCTCAGATACAACCAGGTCTCTAAACTTAGCCTGCCTGGCTCAAAATTTTGGTGCCCCACTTCATGTAAATTTGCATTGCCCTTTGATGGATCTACTAGTGATTCTGGTGATCAGCTCGGAAGCTTCATGGCAACTAGGCTTGGTTTGAGTATTTGTTTCTTTCTCCCCTTTGCCAACTGAATGTTTTTTGTTTTTTTTAAAACCACTCAATGATTTTGCCCTTCCATCATGCATCCAACTAAATGAGGTGAATTGCTGAAGATTTGGTCGACTTTACCTACAGTGTTTCTTGGCCCATATGCGCACTTCTATATGATGGGGCTTTATATGATGGGGCATAATGGGAAGAGATTTCAAACAGCCTATCTCAGTCAGCCTATCTCGGCTCAAAATGGCATATCGGTCACCAAACCCTCCGAGTCCTGATTTGCAGCACTACCACCATGGCAAGTTTGAAAACATGATGCGTATTGACATCAAGAGCCAAAGTGAGAGCCTTGGCTTAGCATCCCAGTTCTTTCATAACATTTCAACATATAATATCATATGGTATGTCTTAACATTTTATAACACTTTATAGCATGTTATAACTAAAAAACTTATCTTGCTTGAAAACTGTATGGGCCGATCCAGCCGATCCAGCTTGATCCCAGGGTTGTTTTCCAGCATGAGCGACAAGATCACCGCACTGTGAAGGGCTTGCCAATTCACTGCGCTTACTTGACTTCGAGTCTCGGCAACTGATTGTTTCTAAAGGGTGTCATACATATTATTAACTCATCATCACACTTTGAATTTAACTTACTTTTCAGCAGTGTTGCATTCAACTCCTGGGTGGCAGTTCCGCAAATTCAGGAAAAAGGGTGGTATTTCAACTTTATGTGAGTCAAACTTGTTTTGGCCTAGGCGATATGCTTTGTCTCCTTCTTTGGCCTTAGAAGAGAGGTTCCCAGATCTCAACGTCAGGGCTGTACGGGCAAGGAGCAGAAGCCGAACTCCTAATAACAAAAGATTCTCACCTGAGCTGCAAGACAGCAGCTGGGCCTATGTTCCTTAGTTTTTGATCCTTTTCTTTTATGTTTGTGCTATTAAAGTTTTTGAAAACATGTTGCAACAGTTTGTTAACTAGTAATGATTTTTGTGCCTCTGAGGATGTGCAACTCGTGAACCCGAAGACCCTCCAGCGGCATCGCAGTCTACTTCTCTACGAGGCAGGTGTTTTTGAAATCTCAGTTAAGTATTGACTTGTCCTGAGTTGCAATCGATTTTTATTTCCCAAGAATTTTATTGGCCATCATGCCATCCAATCTGTAAGGCTACTACCCTGACAATCGTGGAGGGCAAAATGAATCGGTCAGTAGTGGGGATGAAGATCCTGATGAAGAAACTGGTGAAAGGATGACGACTGATGATCAGGAGGATGAGGAACAGGCGAATAGTTTTTTTGGTTATCCTTCAGATGAAATTCTGAAAAAGGACGACTCCAATGACTCCAAGAATGACATGAATGACATTGAGAGTTGGGGGAAAGCGTAAAAAATCAAATTTCAATTTATTTTTTTTATGATTTTTTATGATTTTTTTATGATTTGGATTTATGAATTGGAAAATCGGGTTTTTGATTTTATGAAAAAAATATGATTTTTTAATGATTTTTTATGACTCATTTTATGATGTTTTTATGATTTTTTCTGCCCGCACCGCCCTCAAAAAAATCATTAAAAAAACATAAAAATATCATAAATTTTTCATAAAAAAATCATAAAAAAGTCATAAAAATTTCATAAAAAAATCATAAAATTTTCATAAATTTTATGCAATACTTATGAAATTTTTATGATTCATAAAAAAAATCATATATTTTTCATAAATTTTATGATTATTTTATGAAAATTTTATGATTTTTTTAAATGAAAATTTTATGATTTTTTTTATGAAAAATTTATGATTTTTCCAATTGTTTTTTGGAGGGCGGTGTGGGCAGAAAAAAATCATAAAAAAATCATAAAATGAGCCATAAAAAAATCATAAAATCCAAAAACCAATTTTCCAATTCATAAATCAAAATCATAAAAAAAAATCATTAAAAAAACATAAAAATAAATAAATACTAAAACATTTTTTTCGCTTACTCCTCAAGTCTCAAGAATGACAAGGATGACAAGAATGACACGAAGGAGGACAATGACAAAAAGGACAAGAATGGCAAGAATGACAAGAAGGATCAATGCGACCCCACGAAAACTCTGAAACCTCAAGTCAATGGTATTGAAGCTTGGTTACTTTCATTCTTTCTTTTTTTCTCTGTTTGTGGGATTCAATTTTTGGGGTTTTAAATTGTATCATTTACTATGTTTTGTTGTGGTGACATGTTTCTAAGGCCCAGGAAACCTACATCATTGATGCGACAGAGGGAGGAAACGCATTGGCGACAGAGACCCTGACAAAGGTGCCTAAATCAATAGAGTCCACATGTTGCATAGTTTTGTTAATTTGTGTTCTTTTTTAGTTTCAACCTTCAAATCCAACAGGTTCATCGAATGATCTTGGATGGTGACCGGACCAACCAAAGCAGCATTGAAATATTGGGGCGCATTTATGACATGGCTCGTGTGTCCCTGGCAGTCTGCATGGTGTGCAAACTTGTTAGATGAAAAGAATCGGAACTATCTGGATGGTTTGCTTGGAAAAGGGCGCTCTGCAGTTTGCCAAAGAATCCAAAGATTTGGGATGTACTGTAATTTTCTTCTTTTCGAAAAGTTTGCAGGTCAGACTTGTCACAAACTTGTCCATCAATATCATTTCCTATTACAGTACCTAGTCAGACCTAGTCCCACATGACATGATCATGTGTTATCTGAGGCTTTATTGGCTTCTTTCGCTCTGCATGGATCACTGCTTCCTGGCTGAATTGGAGTTGAGTTGAAACTTCAGGTTCTGGGTTTGGTTGCTGGAATGATACTTCATCTGAAACAAAGGTTTTGGCTCATGAGTTTAAAGAGAGCTTGCAGATCTGCTAGGTCTAGGACCCCCCCGGAACTGATCAGAGTTCAATGTGAATCTAGCTATGATGGTGAGACTGGCTCATGTGGATCCAGCCAATCCAGCGAGAGTGGGAGTTCAACTTCAAGTTCCAGCGAATCCAGCTCATCACCAACAGAGTCTCATAGCCAAACTGCATATGATGCTGCTGAAAGAGAGTTGATCCTTGTTTCATATGGGGCTGGGGGTGTTCCTGTTTTGTATACGCTTACAAAACCTAAGAGTGTTGCCTGTTCTGTTCATTCCAAGTTGGGTGTGGCTCGCATCTCAGGACTCTACAGCTAAGGGCATCAGTTGAGATTTCTTCCTTGCAGAAGTCGATTGTCTCTGGTTGGGGGAGTCGGATGGCATTTGCCGGAGGTGACCTGTCCTTTCTATGTTTGATTTGTTTTTCTTCCAGCGATTTGATTTAATGTTTGATGTGTTTTTTCTATGTTTGATATGTTTTTCTATGTTTTGCCTTCAGCATCTATGGGAAAATACTTGTTGTGCCCAACTAGGTGTGCAAGAATTTCTTGCTGGATTGAGCCGTCAACTCTCACTGATGTCGGACTGCTGCCTGGTTTCAAGTGATGTGTTATTTTGTTTTTATACTTTCCAGTCTTTTCATGGAAAGTGACTTCAAGCATACTCAGTGTCGTCAAGTGTTTTGTTTCGAGCATTTATGATTTTGAGGCTCTGGAGCTGGTGGCTCATGGTGGGCCCTCAAAGAGCTAACAGGTGATCGCTGTGAGCTTGTTTGTGAAACTGAAAAAGGGCAAGCTGGACTGAAATTCCTCTTGGCAAACACCAATGCCAGAGTGCAACTTGGTGCTAATCTTAGTACGGTTTGGATGACCAGGGGGCTACTGCAGGAAAAAGATCAGAAGAGTGGTAAAACAAAGAATGTGCATGGTAAACAGTTAGTTTGCTCAGCATTATGTTTTGTATTTTGTGAGGGGCTAATTTTTCAACAAGATTTATCACAAGTACCTGTCCCAAACAGTCCAAACATGTCCAAAAGGATCTACACTGATATGATCGAACGTGACCAAACGAGTTTGCCGCAAACCACACTATATGATTGTGGATTTCCATGTCAGCCATTCTCTTTATTGAATTCGTCGTCGCAGTTCATGAATGCCCCAGAGGCAGAATGTTTCCGACAAAGCATTCGAACAATCTGGGCATGTCAGCCTCTGATTGCAGTGCTCGAAAATGTGATGGGGTTAGCAAGGAAAGGAGTGTGGCGCATTGTTGAGAAGTATTTGATGAAATTGACAACGTACTTCTTTTGTCGACTTCACATCACTCCAGACAAACTGGGCAGTTGCGTCAGCAGACGCAGGATTTATATCTTACTGCTGCACAGGCCAGTCAACAGTTTTAGCATTTTTTAAATATGGGTTTGCTTTGGTTTTGTACTTTCTTTTGTTTTGTTTGATTTTATGTCAATATGGTTTTGTTTTTGTACCTTCAAGTTGGTGCCTGCCACCCTAAGGAGTGTACTGAAGGACTACATTGACAGCAATGAGAAGTTGCAAAAAGCAGCCGAGATCATCTACAAGCAACTGCAGGTGTTCCACAGGGCATCGCCGATCTTTGGACGAATCTTCAGCATGTTTGTTTCAATAAGGGTTTCCCAAGGATTTGTTTCCCAAGGTTTCTTTTTCAAAGTGTTACAATACCCCTGGGCTTAGGATGCACCTACTATTCCCCAATTACCATCCAGTGGTGACAGAGAACATCGAGAAACTAAAGGAATCTGGTTCCCGAACTGGCACAACAACATTTGACTTGAATTGGGATGAGAAACCGGAAGAGGAACATCCGAAATGGTTGAGGAAACATTGGGACAAGATGCAAGAGCTGGAGGCTTTTCTGCTGTGCTTTAGAATTCAAAATTGTTGGTTTTCAAAATTGTGATTCAAAAGCTGAGCAAAAAATACATGGTTCCGCATCCCTATCAGGTCAATCCTCGGGAGCTCACACCGTTGAGAGAAAGTTGGCCCGTCGTGCACACCCAGCGGGTTCAGCATGCCCTTGACATCTACAACACTGCTGGAACTTTTGGAAACAGCTTCATCAATACAAGCCAAAGCATAGAGCGGATGGTATCTGGATCTGAGGGTACTATCCCGTGTATCACTCCCAATGGTGCTTTTTTTTCGATGCCACACAAAAGATATTTGACAGGCTTGGGCCTCCAAACATTTTGACAGCTAAGTTTGTCCAACAAGTAATTAATCTTTCAAACGGCTGGCACTGGAAGCTGAACCCTGAAGGCGCTGAGAAGCTACTATGTCAAGACTTTCCGCTTCACAAAGTCCGGCTGACTCATATGACAGATGCCGTGCCTCAGATATAACTCAGAACCCCTGGGTTGAATCCTGAAAGTTTCCTAGTCAGGGGTATGGTCGTATTTATTCTTGGGTCCAAACCCTGTGCTGAGGAAATGCATTGCTTAGCAGGAAACGCCTACAATGTCAGGTCAGTGGCAGCAGCATACGTATGTGCCATGGCTGTCTCCGATCTTGACAAATTCAACCAGGCAGTGGAGGAACGATCTAAAAATTGAACCTAGTTGATTTGTGGAGTGGCTGCCTGTAAAAAAAAATGCTGCTGCCACCGTACCGCTACTGTTCAATTCAGGACTTGAAGTGCTGCTTTGAATGAGTATGTGCCGAAGGTATTTCCAACCCATGCCAAACAAACTGCAATGATACGATATGTCTCAACTTAATAATGTCATAATATGATTTAAAATCAGCATCAGTTCCAGTTCCACCCACATGATGTACGACTGTAAACAACATTGCTTTGAATGAATTGGATTCTTATGGATTCTTTTTTAAGCACCCCTCTGAAGGTCCATATCCAAAAAAATGTCACTTGAACATATACCCTCGTAACTCCTTTAAGACTGTACTTCAGGACTGCTACCACAACAGAGATCATTTGAACACAAAAAAAAATCATACCAACTCAGCCATGTTCCAACGCTATGAAGCGCCTGATTCAGATGAGTCAGGGTCGGATGGCACTTCTTCATCGGGACATTCATCAGGTGAGAGCTCTTCTAGTTCATCCCCTACCCTTGACAAGAAGGGGTCTGACATGGTGAGCAATATGAAGAACTTGAGTTTGAATCAACTTCTCTGCATGGAGGTAGGTGATGATGGTGATGAAAGCCAGGCTGCTGTGAATGGCAAGTGCAAATCTCGTATAACAGAGGCATTCAAACGACCATGCTGCAAAAACAGATGCAAGAAAAATCTTTGTTACAAACTGGTGTTTGCCTTCTGCATGGGTTTCTGGTCTTTGAGTAAGAGTGGACAAGACTGTTTGTTGCCTGGCTAGATGCAATTAGCAACCCTTTTTCTTGTTTAATCTTAAAGTTGGCAAAAGTACTTGACCCTGACTAGTGTCTAGGTATTTTCATGTATTTTCTGAACGCTACAAACTTTGCCACAGGCTTTGGAGTCTACAATCAAATGGTAGACAAGATGCTGAAGAATCCGAAGATGATGGCACTGGATCGACTCTAGCAGCTCTGCCCGGGCAACATCCTGCAGGTCCAAGTGGAATATTGAAGGACTGCTGGGACTGGGGAACAAACATGGTTTGCATATGGTTTGAATAAGAAGTTGTTTGACTCCCAATGGCCCCAAATAACCCCAAAAAAAATACTGAAGGAGTTCCAGTATGTCGTACAGCATTCCTACAGTTGCTTGGAATTGGGCGTGGAAGACTGGCCCGTACCAAGCGCACATTTCGAGGGGAAGATGCTCGAAAATATGGTGCTTGGGGTTTGAAAATATTGTGTTCAAACAAACACAATATGTAATATGTAACAACTATCAATCTGATGACAATTAAATCAAAACTAGGCAATGGTCATGGTTCCCTGTGACACAAGGTGCTGGCGCTGGGCCTGGCCAAGTTTCAGCATCCGTTCTCCAATTCTTGCAGCACACATACTGGAGCATAGCGGAGACCCTTCCGCACGAGAGCCTTGGATTTCATGGGCAATGTTAGTTTATGGGGATGGGTTGACACCTTTGAGTTTACGATGGTTTCATCGATGTTTATATAATGTTGGAAATATTATTGGTTTAACTTGCCCTGTGTCAAAGGTTGGAAGTGGACAGTGCAAACTTCACAACTGAAGATGGGCGTGCAACTTTAGTCCAAGCTCTAGTTGATTCAGCCCTTTGTTCTGCTCCAGGGCTGGTGGAAAACAATCCTGCGCAGTTACCTCGAAGGTACCTCCCACCTGGAAACTTTTCTGACCTTTACAGGCTCTACACTGCAGCGTGTCATGCAGCAAAACAGCCAGCTGCAAGTTGCTCCACTTTCTTCCGAACCCTTCGCTCATCCGGCTGGAGAAAGAAGTTACGACACCGACCCAGAACCACACACAGTAAGTGCACAACTTGCCATATTCTGAAGGATCGGATTCGGAAATCCAAAAGTTTACAAGAACATGCTGCTGCTGCTGACCAATACTTGAGGCATCTTGCAGGGCAATTTTCTGATAGACAGTGCTACTGGCAATTTAGACACCGAGCAGCTCATCGTCATGATCTCATCGTGGCGATACAAGACAGCATGGATAAGTCGAAATTCCGGATGCCTCGCTATGCTGGAGGCATTGTTCCAAAGGCATTGGAGCAGAAAGTGCGCCCCGAATGTGAATTGACTGCTTGCATCGTTCATGGGAGGGGCATATACATCTACGTGGCAGACCCTGACATGTCGTTTGGGTCTGACTGGAGTATGGAAGTTTTCAGTAGGAGCCTTCAAGCATCATGGGAACAGGCACAGAAACGTGGCATGCTGTGGCCACGGGCTTGCAAATTGTTCTCCGACAATACCCCAAAGGAGCTGCAACTATTCAAAGTTATGTTTATTTTATATAATAGTGTTTTAAGTTTTAATGTTTCAAAATTTTAACCATATGGCCCATACAGCCACCAATTATCCCCGAAGTTTCAACTTTTTCCGGAATATTCCTACCCTATTCATCCCTGCCCAGGAAATCAAGAATTCACTGTTCGACAGATATTGCGCAACACTTTGCGCTGCAAGTGCCTTTGACAATATATCTCATGAACACCTCACAGTTGGCCACACGCACGAAGACGTGGGAGACTTTGCTGCATTTAGATTGTTTGTGCCAACAATGTCAGTTATTGAATTGAATTTCCTTTGAAATTTATGATTTGACAAGTTACATGACTCTGCTGAGATGCTCTATTTGGACTAATATCCCGATTGATCAAAGAGGGCGATGAGGATGTGTCATGACCTCAGTATCCCTAAATGTCCCTAACCTCCTTGGGTGCCAAGTTGCCTCAAGCCAGCCATCTTCAGGCAATGTCCCCAAGACCTGGTAGCGTACCTTGGAAGCAGTGTCCAAATATTTGGCAGCAGTGTCTTTATCTGAAAAAGTGTGGAAACATGTTTTTGGTATGGATGCCTGAGGTTTCTCAATGGCAAACTCACCCAGCATTTTGCCAACAAGCAAATGACCTTCAAAGCGACCTATGTAACAATGGTTCGGGACTGGACAGGAAACTTGATGAACTTTGCCACAACCTTTGGGGCTTACAGGAAACGTGCTAAAGATCAAAAAGATGTCCCTCATTCTTTCACATTTGTGCGACGTGATTGTCCCTGGACATTTTATATGTTGTTTTGAGTTTTGTGTGTGTGCGCATGTGTTTCTTGTAGGACAACATCTTTGCAGTTGTTTCACTTAGGCATGCCCCAGCAACTGGTGAACAGTGCAAGCAACAGCCTGCCGCGCCGATACAATGAGTCTCCACATGATGTGTTCATGCTCATCAAGGGGTTTGTCAGTGACCGGGATCTATCACAACCTCCGCTTCTGGTATGGCCTGGTGCCAGCGCACAAGAATCTTTTGAAGCTCTTTGCAAGATTGCCCGGAATGAGGTGAACAGTGACTTGGTTTTGAATATGTTTTACTCTGGCTTCTGTTTGTATAACATGCAAGTCAGTTCAAATTATCATAGCCCCCCATTTTACATCCAAGTGTCGTTCAAGGTTTGGCCTGCAGCATGGATGAAGATCGACAAGAAGTTCTGAAAGAAATTGCAGAGTACCTCAATGACAACTACAGTCAATATGCTCGGGGTGTTTCTTATCTGCTGCAATTGGCTGGCGTGTATGCTGCTCAAAGAGTTCAACCTCCGCACCTTTCCTTTTTAGAGGATGGTAGCTTTGGTGTGCAGCGGGGGGCTATGCTTATGCATGACCCTGAACCCCATGTTTGGCACACAATGAATGTCAGGTTTCACCGGTGCTAGATTGGGTCTAAACATTAAATTTGGGAAAAAAATGCTTGGAAACCAACAGCTTTGGGCATGTCAGCATTACTCCTCAGTTCACTACATGGCAAGCAATCGAAAAGTGTTATGATCCAGTTTGCAACCGCAGTATTTGACATCGTCTCACTTGGCACATCGCTTGTGCGCCATGGCATCTTTGGGGTATTTTGGCCCTGTGAAAGAGGAATTTCAAGATGGGAGTGTGCCTTGATTCCAACAAGAACTTTTTAATTTTATAGCAATGTTCATTCATTTCCCCCTTCAGCCATGCAGCCATTCCGATATATTCCGATATTGCCAGTCAGGCCGACGATGTTCCATCCGATGGCAAAGTGAAGTCAATTCCTGAGGGGTTGACAGCGAAAATGGATGAGGCCAGGCATTGGTTGACCCAAATGGTATTCACAATTGATCACAACATGTCATAACCCAAATTGGCAAAAACCACAACTTGAAACCTGTGCCCAGATTTGCTCAGAGTTCAACATGGGCCGTTGGATGTGGGAACAGCTGGGTTCTGACAACGGCAAGAAGAGTTTCATACTGGTTCCTTGGTCTGAATTGGATTGAACTGGTGTAATATTATATGACCCCTAATGTCATAATTTATCATTATATTATGATGTCATCTGATACATACTATGTCCCATTATGCCCCTTATTTCTCATGGAAACGCAATCACCTTGAAGATTTAACTGCAGGCTATGTCTTCAACATTCAACATGAAGTGTGTGAGCAAGCTGGTGGAGAACCACGTTCAACCTATCTTGCAATCAGTGCCTGTGGCTTCCAAAGAGTTTTACCTCAGCCACTGGAACTTTGACTTTTCAGAGAGATCGAAGTATGGTGAGAATGGCCGCTGGCCAACAAACCTCCAGTACAAGAGCCACTTCCACAGCTTCCTGAAGTCTGGCTATGAGGCGAGCCGCGAGCCAATTGATGTCCGCTTCCGGGAGCAAGCTGATGCCATAGAGCCTTTCAGCGTGCAGTTTGTGGATGGTCAGAACAAAATGCTGATTATCCAATCGATTCTGGCTTTGATGGAGGTGTGTGTGCTTTGGCTGCCCTAAGCATGCCAAATTTCCAACATCATTGCCCATCAGAAACCAGGTTGGTCCCAAAGTTACATTTTTTCTGTCCATCAAACATCAGGACATCAAAGAGATGGAGGTGGAAGAGGACCCACACTTCGCTCATGTGCTAGCAAGTTTCAGGTTCATTCGTTGCAACTTCAAGAAGCATTCCCGGCCGGAGCACTATATCTATGAATCCTTGAGTCCAAAACCCAGTCTATATAAATTGTATCAACTTGTATCTTGTGCTCCCTAATTGATTGCACAGATCTAGTTATATCCTCCCCAGGCTTGGCAAATCGAAGAGCTGAGAAGGTCAAACCATCGTGCCTCGACTACGTTTTGATCTTCAGAGAGGCGGCCAGGATCAAGCAGACAACCATGCCGAGCAGCAGCCTGCGGGATTGCGTCTGGAGTGCAGTCTCTGAGTACAACAAGACTGTCTCCAAGGCATGGTTTTAAATGAGCTTGTTCTACAATCAAACAAATATCGCACAATATCCCACAACCAAGTAAATGGGTGATAGTTATTGTATATTATAATGATGATAAATTATTATACTAAAGGATGGGTCCCGAATTTGAAACATAATGTCATCTAAACTATAGGGTAATCCTGTCATTGATTTATTCATGGCAAACCCTGAGAACTGGAGAGTCAAAGATGATGTCCGTCGCTTGACCTACAACTTGATGAGATGCCCTGCAGAGCTCATGGATCTACTTGGCCAAATGTATGAACACACGAAGCCTGAGATTGCAGGCCTGATTTTGAGAATGGATTCGATGTTCCCAAGTACAGTATGTTTTTTTTTGTCAAGGTCTTATGACACAAAATCTGTGATTCTCGTGTTCCCTGTCAGCTATGTGCATCGAAAACATGGATGGTGACTACTACATCCCCGGTGCAAAACCTGATGGTGCCGAAGGCATCTGGAAAGAAGTGCAGGCTGCTTGGCTATAATTACAAATGGTCTTGGTTGCAACATGTTTTTAAACCATGTCAAATTTCATTCAACTTTTCACAATTATACAGTGTTCTCAAAATGGTTTCAATTTGTGTTGTCCAATCTTTCCTCACAGATATTATAGTGTTCTCAAAATGGTTTTAATTTGTGTTGTCCGATCTTTCCTCACAGGAGTCAACATCGGCAGCCGTGCTCGTCTGGGCAAACCGTGCACAATCAGACTACAATCGCAAAGCCAACAAACATGCCTCTTCAAAGCAGAAGGACTATGGTCAAAAATGCATGTTTTCTCCAACTTGTTGGTTGGTTTAAATGTCAAAGTAAAGTATTGCTTGCGTAATAAAATCTTTACAAAATTTACCCTGCAACCCTGGCCAGAAAATGGCTCAGCGTGATGCTGCCGGTCTGCAAGATCTGTTTGCCTTGTCCTGCTTCTTCGCGTGGCTCATGCCGAAGATGGAGGTGCAGTTGGGAAAGGATTCTGCCATCCTGGGCAAGATCATGGAAATGTGGGATCTTGGGTGCCTTGGATTTAGTTGGTAGAAAGAAACCGCAACAAAAAAACAGGTCTTTCAAAGAGGCCCCATTGTAGTGTGGAATCTGAAATCCGCACTACTATTTGCAGGGTTCAGGTTGTAGGGGAAAAATGGTATGGTTCCACTAAAAAGCAAGTTGAATTTCTGTATCTTCCAGTTTGTGGGAATCGTAGTGTGGATTTCAAAATCCGCACGACTTTTGCCTTCTAATTTTGAATAGCTGGGAATGTTGTGTTTTCTCAAATCCAAACATTTATATAACTTCAACCAAATTGGGTCAACAGGGAAAACCGCACTACTCCATCCCAGGGGATAAAAAAAACCGCAAGATTTGACTTGAGCAAAAACCAAAACCGCACTACTCCATCCCAGGGGATAAAAAAAACCGCACTACTGGGCCCATGTTGGAAAAATTCCGCACTACTGGGTCCATGTTGAAAAAAATCCGCACTACTGGGTCCATGTTGGAAAAATTCCGCACTACTGGGTCCATGTTAGAAAAATTCCGCACTACTGGGTCCATGTTGGAAAAATTCCGCACTACTGGGTCCATGTTTGTACTGGGTCCATGTTAGAAAAAAATCCACACTACTGGGTCTATGTTGGGAAAAAAACCACCACATTTTGTTGATGGTCGATGTTGGAGAAATCCACACTACTGGATCAATTTTGGAAAATTTCAACACTTGGTACATGTTGGAACAGCTACCCAACACTTGACCAATGGTAACATGCTGTCCAAGTCTCAACAATGCCGATATCATCAGCCAGGAATCTGCAGCAAAATTCGATTTTTGCCAAGCCTTGGACTAGATTTGAGCACCTCAAAGCACTCAAAGCTAGTCCAAGGCTTGGCAAAAACCATTCATAACCTCAATGTCCCATGGACAAACCCAGGAATGGATCAGTGCAATGCTTTGGGTTATTGGATTTTCCCATTATGATTCAATATTATATCTATCTTTATAGGGGTTCCAAGTGTCAATGAACCTTTGCTATACCCGTGGCACAGCAGTTGCTATAAGTTCCTTTTCTCTTTGAAAAGGGTTACATGGTATGAGCGATTAAGCCCCAAAAGGTAACAAGAAATGACCCCCGAAATTTGGTACCTTCAAGGTTTCTCAAGCCCCTTTTTGGTTCCTTGAAGGTGCTCATGCCCCTTTGCTGCAATGAACCAAATCCCGATCTCCAAGCAGTTTTCTCTTGGGGTGCAATAAAATAGGTTTTAGGTGTCTATATACTGCAGAAATGCTTATTATATATTATATATATTTGATTCCACATCATACTATAAAATGTAATATATACAAATAAAACATACTATGATATAACTTAATAAATTAAAACACAATAAACTATAATATAATATATAATATCATATATAATATAACATGATATAATATAATATAATATAAATGTTTTGATATAATTAATACAATATAATATAAATATTATAATATAATATAATATAATATAGTATAGTATAATATAATATAATATAATATAGTATAGTATAATATGATGTTGTATAATATAAAATGATAATGTATGATAAGATAAGACAAAAATAATAATATAAAATGACATATACTAAATAAAAAACATAATATAAACATAGTTCATATTATATATCACATAGATTAAATATTACAATATGATATAATATAACATATATGGTAAAATATTATAATTTATAGTATATAATAAAACCATATTTAAAAAAAATATAATCAAATATCACATGAAATAACATAACATCATAACATATCATATAATATCATATCATTTGATATTACATTGTATAATAATATTATATTATATAAAATATCATGTTCCAACATATTATAAGTATGTGAGTGTGCAAACAGTTTGAACATGTCAGCTCCTATGTTTGCTGAGGGCTCTGGATTCAGAGCTACGGTCGCACATCCGTGGCAATGACCCCATGTTTGAGATCAGCAAGCTCGCATTCTTTGCAGAAGCGACAGGAGCAGTTCAAGAATCCCATCTCTTGGAAGCCCAAAACAATGTTGCCAATGCGAGGAAAACTTCTTTGCAGGCAGGGTTTGCTCTCTTCAAGACATCTTTGAGCAACGACCAGGTGCTGCATGACAGATTCTTAGCTGCGTCGAAGACCGATGAAGCTCGTGCTCGAAGTGTAGCACTGGCGTCTCTGGAGGCTGTGGTTTGGTTCATTGTGTCTTTTGTTTGTTTGTTTTTGGATCGGTAATTTTATCTTTTTTAAATATAACTATTTGGTTTGCCATGATGCTGCTAAGAGAAACACAAGACATAAAAACAAGTTTGGTCATCATGCTCAGTGATTTTCTGACCCCTGGCAGAAAATGCATTCAACTGCATGGAATTTGGTGCAGAACTATGCCACCGAAAGCCTGCCAACTTGGAATGCTGCTCCGAAGAAAGGCCTGGAAATTCATAGTGTTCCATCTTTTAGACGTTAGACTAGTGCAGCTGATTTGATTTACCAGCACATTCTATGACTTGCTCTGAGGCAGCCTTGAGATTTCAAATCCTTAATAGGTTGCTGTAGATGTTCCATGTTATTACAGTACCCTTTTTTTACAAGATGCTGATGGTGATGATGGGGATGATTCGGCAATGGCAACAGTAATGATTTCAACACATGATTTAGCGACAACATGGTGATGGTGATGATGAGAATGATGATGATGCCGATGTTGTTGCTGATGATGATGATGAAGTTGACGTTGATGGTGTTGGTAATGAGAAGAATGGGGGTGTTGACGATGATGGTGAGGAGAAGGATGATAATGAGGAGAAGGATGATAATGAGGAGAAGGATGATACTGGCATGGGTGATATGGATGGTATGGATGATGTAAGGATGATGTGTGGGTGATCTGGAGGGTGCTCAGGATGATGGCAGTTATGATGATTATGACAGCTATGTCAGTGAAAATAATATAAGATGATAATTGGTTGCTTGGTGCTTCTGTGTTTGATGCAGTACGGTTCCTGTTGCATGGGTTGCCTTTGCTTTATTCTGTTGTTGTTGCTACTACTGTTGTTGCCGATGCTTTGTTGCTGTTGCTGTTGCTGTTGCTGTTGTTTGCAAGTTGTTTGGTTGTTTTGTGGTTGCTGTTCGGTGGTTGTTGTTGCTGCTGTTGTTAATGCTAATATTGCTGTTCGTGTTGCTCTTGTTGTTGTTGTTGTTGTTTGTTGCTGCTGCTGCTGTTGTTAATGTCTTTGCTGTTCTTGTTGTTCTTGTTCTTGTTGTTCTTGTTGTTGTTGTTGTTGTTGATGCTGTTGCTGTTGCTGCTGCAGCTGCTGACGCTGATGCTGATGCTGATGCTGATGCTTTTTTTGATGTTGTTATGGTTGAGGTTACAGCTGTGTGTTTGGCTGTTGTGGCTATTGTTGCTCCTGGCTGCAGGGTTGTGGGTGAAACTGTGAGTGCGGTTCTCTTTGCTATTGTTGTTGTTTTTTGTCATTGGTGTACAGGCGCTGTTCATGTTGGCAGGATGACTTTTTACCTGTGATTATGTAAAATGTGTTTGAGTTTGAACTGATTTTATTTCTTATGAATTTTGGCTTCTGCTTGCTCAAAGTTAGTGTGTTCAGTTTTGCTGTTTCTGTTGTGGTGATTTGTGTCCACTGCCTTGTTCTTGCTTGTGTTGTGCATCCCCTGTCAAAAGGTTATTTCCATTCAAAGGTTATTTTCATTATCACCTTCCGATTCCTCATGGTTCACATAGAGTGGTGTGTATGTGTGACTTGATGTCGTGTCGATCAGCTATCATTTACTTTCAAATTAAATCTACTTTTAATGCATCACATTACATGAACAGTATCTCAATTTATAGTTCAATACATCTTTGCTTGCCTGATGTTTTGTGTTTGTTTGGTTCCCCTTTGTGTGCTTGTCACCTGTTATGTTGGTATGTCCCTCAATAAAGTATCTTTTTCTAGGTGGAATAATATAAGTACAGTTCTGTAACATCATATGAGTACAGGCCTGAATGAAAGATAGGAGAACTAACACCAACAGGAGATTGTTTGTTTGTGATCCTGCATTTGTTGCTTCTTGCCTTATATTAGTTTCTGTCTGATCCAGACCCTGACCCCCCCGTTTTTCGAAAAAGAAACAGGGAACATGTTTACTGCTTTTGTTCTTGTTCACTTTCTATGTCGCACAAGAATGTGCGCATGGTGCAGATGGCGACAAAGAGAAAGTCATCAGCACAATTGCTGCAAAAGTGAACCCTTGGCTTCAACAAGTGTTGCTGGGCTATGCTGGTGGCCTTCGGCGGCCTGAATCTGAAAGGATCTTTGCTTGGTGCAACTATGTCACTGCAGGTGTCTTAACGGCAGGGAAGATAGAGTTCACTGTGAACACTATCACAGGCCTGGCCCATGCACACCCTCGGCAATTTGTGGGCATCGTGATGCTTCCAAATCGGTCAGGGGACTTGCGCTTGCCAGTGAAGTGTCTTGAATGAACTTGAATAGTTTTGCTAGATTTAATCAATTTGTGTGCTTTGTATTTTTATCTGACATGCTGCTTTATTTGTGTCTTGTTGATAGTTCCACAACAACTTTTGGAAGGCATGAAAAGAAGGAACGAGAGGATGATGATGAGGGTGATGGAGATGCAGGGTCTGTGCAGGATGTGATGATGGGTGATGTGGGTGACGAGGAAGATGATGACACGAAGACTGATTCGGCAGAAGCAGTTTTGCACGAGTTCGTGTACAAGCTCAAGAGCCATTTCATGGAGACAGAGCGAAACTTGCGAGTGCCTTGGCATACTTTGTAGTATAAACACCCTGGCTCTTCATTTTTTCAAATTGATTTTGTTCGGAAATTTGAAGAAACCAAAAATGAAACAAATTACCCAATTGGCTGGGTTGTAAGTCTGTCTACAAGCACCCTTTCCAAAACCTGCCATACCTTCCTCAGGTGAAAAGTGCAACCCTTGTGTTCGAAGAGAACTCAGTCTATGGATCCCGCAATGGAGCTCACAATGTTCTTTTGATCACTGCAAATGACAAGAACAACATGTTCCTGAAGTCGAAGGCCATGCGAACTGGTGTCATTTCCGCTCCGACGATGCTTCCGAGGAGCGAAATGCTCAAAGTCGAAAGATCCACCAGAGGGTTCACCTCAGATCCAAAGCTGACACGAGTTCAAGAGATGAAGCAGGCTGGGTTGTTCGAAAAGCTTTCAGGGCCTAAAAAAAGGATGTACACTCCAATGGATTAAATGAATTTCTCAGCATGCCACAAGGTTTAAAGCAAGGACTTATGTCGTTAAAGATAGCTGGTTGCAGTTTAAACATAAGTAGGCTGATTTGTTCCCAGTCCAGCCTTGCGAGTGAAATACTTAAGCAACTAGCCTGGGTACCTTATACCATCTTATATTAAATCATAATAATACCCCTGTAGAGGCAGTAGCTTCGTATTGGAATGAGTTGGGTCTATTTATTATTTATTTAGCTATTCATATAATGGTCCTATTTTTTTCGATTGACCTGATGAAATGGAAAATACCTCTTGTGTTTTTTCACTAGTTGAGCATCCCCTGCCAGCACCTGGCTGGAGTCAGTGTGGTCGACAAAACGATCAATTCACTCTCAGATCCTGCCGACAACACCAACGTCATTATCGACTTGCTGGGATTTGATGGCTGGACTGCATTGTTTGGCTTGTCCGAACTTTCCAAAGGGAACCGTTGGGCAGTGGGCACAGTGTGCCATTATGCACATGAGACATCCTTCGTGGCAGAAATCACATCCAACCGGATCTTCTCACTTGCCCGAGAAGGAAAACTCAAGGTGGCAGGCTTCCCAAACTTCAAGTCTGTGATTGAAGATTTGCAGAGATCTTCGACTGCGAGCTCTACCCCGGAATACTCCATCTGCACCCCCCTGACAGATGGATGCCTGGTGATCAAACAAGCCTTGATTGACCTCTGGGCATTGAAAAATGAGGGCTTCAAGGACGAAGCTGCACCTTCACTGAAATTAAGTTATTTCAGCCAGATTTATTTTCTGTTTTTTAGGAACCACCAACAAACCACACCCCATCACTGATATTTTTGGTTGATAGCAATTATTGCTTTCGATATTGTTCTTTGATTTAAGGATGTCCCAGTCCCAATATGTCCCAATAACCATGGATAATGATAAATGACTAAGTCCCATACAAATTATATGATTCCCCAAATCACCTGTTGTCGAGTTGCTGCCAGGCAAGCTTGATTGAAGCGCACAACAGTCGCTACAATCCTCGGGGCGTCAAGAGAGGCGCTGAACCAGCTGCTGAAGCAGGTGGGGGACAGTCAGGGGAGCCTGCAGTGAAAAGGCTTTGCATCGAGAAGTCCAAGGACCTTTCTGATGAATCGATGATGGAAGACAAGCCACTTGGCATGATTATCAAACATTTTGGCTTTAAGACTACAAAAATGTCACTGATGACTGGTTCCTAATCTTAGGGGTTACTTTCAAACCATTCAGGGCGACCTTGGCCGCTGGAAATTTCAAGCTTGTTCTGGACAAGAAAGAGGAAACCCTTTGGCTGGCCCCTGAGAAGGCTGGACAACAAGTTGAAGTACCTGCTTATGCAGAATTGTTCGGATTTGGGTCTGGAGAATATGCCCTCAGCTCTGATTCTAAGTTGAATAATGGCCAAACACTTTGTGAGACCCTTATTTTTTTGAGATTTAATCCAATCATGGTTCTTCAAAAGATGTTTACATAGACCACTTGAGTCGTTAGCCCAGGAAGCTACGGACTGCATGAATGACAGCAGCAAGACTGGGCGATGGCTATCCTTCAACATCACGAGTCTCGAAGATTTGGTCATTGCTGAGGCTGACCGGAAGTTGGGCGACCACATCAAATCGTTGAGCACTTTCAACAAGGCTCTGCATCGTTCAAGGGAATTATGGTTGACAGTTAACAGTTTGAAATGCCAAAAGGATACAAAAGAGACTTATCCAATAAGTAGGCCCAACAACATTCAATTTCAGATTCTGTTATTTCAGGTCTGCAAGCTGAGTGAGCTCTTGCGCTCTCTGGAGAACGCTGGTGAGATTGGGGTATCCATCGGATTGCACAGCATTGAGGAGTCAGTGGTTAAGGGAACAAAACCGTGCTGTTTCTTGCTTGACCCACCGAAAGAGAAGACCTTGCAAAAGAAGGTCCGACTTGGCCAATATGTGATTTTGAAATGTCAAATCTTGGCTTTGGCGAGGGACCACCAATAATCAAAAAAACATATCACCATATCAAACTCTGGTTTTACAAATGGCATGCAGTGAGGATACTATGTAAGATAAATCTGTTAAGCACCCTGACAGGTTGGATCAGTGGCTACTTTTGGAGCCCGTCTCAACATGGCGAAGGTCCGGTCTGCTTCGACCTTCAAGATCATTTGGAGGATGAAGTCACTCAACTATTGTTAGTTTGGTAGCCCCCAAAATCTAAATCAACTATTTTTTTCCAGGACATCTCCATTCCCACACTCAGGTTGCAGTCGGATGGCAATGGAGGCAACGAGCTTCTGCCAGTGCGACCAGTTGCAATTCTTCCTGGGTCCATGTCGTGTGAAGCCGACAAGATGTACCGACTCATGTAGGATGACTTTTCATGGAGTCCAGCAGCGTCCACCATTTGGATATCAACCAATACCAAAAAACATATTATATAGTAATAGTAATAACATATCAAGCATTCCTCACTTAAAACTGTTGGACCGTTGGACTTTACAATGGGTTTGGGGGTTTGCGCCTCACACCAGCTTACTGGCTGAAATGTCAGTGCCTTGCTTGGCCTTGATGGTGTGCAAGTGTGTGAACATCTTTTGATTCTTGTGCTGTCGAGCGAGCATCAATCGAGAAGATTGGTGAAAAATTAATGCCATGTGCCACCCCAGACACATCCAGAAACAACCCACAAGGTAATCAGTAACCATTGCAGCTATGATGCATGCCATCTCTACTGACATGTTGCTTCGCCATTGTGGATCAATTAATAGTGTCTTTTTCAGTTCATAGTATAGGCAGGCTGACTAGTATTTCCCATGTCGACTCACAGTGTGTCATCGGGGTCTGGGTCTGAAGATGATGCCCATTGTGGAAGTGCTGGGAACGTCCAATTTCAGCGAAAATTCAGTGTGACAGACTACTCCGATGTGCTCCAAGACATGTCAGCTTCTGCCTCAAGATCTCAGCAAGCAGCGCCTTCTTCCAGTGGCTTGTTTTGAGTTAAGGTTTTTATTCTTTATCCAAGCAACTTCTTCCCGTGGCTTGTTTTTCCAGTGGATTTTTTTTCTGCTAGCAATTGTCCCTAAGGTACCAGGGGATCTGCAGGCGCAATCTCTTTGGGCCGTGTGGCTTTGAACAGCTCCTCTGATTCACCGCAAGGCCAAAATGAAGAGAAGAAGAGCGACAAAAAAGATAAGAAGGAAGGCAAGACAGAAAAGAAGGCAAAGGAAGATGAAACCAATAAGAAAGGAAAATCAAAGAAGGACAAAGAGAAGAGTGAAAAGGATAAGAAGAAGAAAAAAAATGAGGATGATCCTGAGGATCCATTTGATAAAATTGATAAAGGTGATGATGAGGAAGATGAAGGCGAAGATGGAGGTGAGAAGCCCAAGAAGAGGCCCTCTACCAGAAAGACGGCAGTAACCGCTTCGAAAGCCTCAGGCAAGAAGGATGCCAAGAAGAAAGATAACAAGAAGGAAAGCAGGAAAGGAAAGAAACATGGAGTTGATGACCAAAAGGATGTTGAGACAGACTTTGACAAGAAGATGAACATGTCTTTGCAAGACATCGCGCAGATTGCCGAGGGCAATGGCAAGGAACGTCCTGGAGGTGATGAGGAGTGGGATTAATTATTTTGTTTGACCGCCCTCACTTTTAAACATATCTTGTGGTTCAAGTTTCTTTCTTTGGTGCAAGTACCAAGATCAAACACAGGAATCTGATTTGGATCAAGATCAAATATCAAGATCAAGTATCAAGTATCTTGATTTGGTGCAGGAATCTGATTCACAGAAGACCCTTGCTCTGGACTTCTGGGATGATGGCACACAGGCGGGGGACAGCCAAGCAAATTTGGAACCACACATGGATTCTTGTCAAAATATGTTCATGCCATTGCCAAACCTGACAACTGTAGTACTGCAAGGAGCCGCCTGTTGCTACTCCGCCCGTTGCTACTCCATGCCGTTCTACTATAGGCACTCGGAAGGACTGGGGGTCTTTGGGTTGGTGGGTTTTTTTTTCAAAATTTACACAAACACAAACATTTAATGTAAAGAAAACTTGGGGATATGGCTCATCTTTGTTTCAACTTGTCAGCTTACTTTTCACTTTGCTTGGCAGGTTCAAGTTCCAGAGAATGACAGGATTGCGCTGGCAAAAGCTGTTGGTGCTTCAGTGCGACCGGGATTTCAAACCCCACTGCAAGTCTTGGAGAACAAGAAAACTCAACTTGAAAAGAAGAAAATGGAGGCTGCAATTTACAAGCTCCTAGATAACCAGTTCTGGAGCAAGATGGATGACAAGGCAGGTGACAAAAAGCGAAAAACAATGCCAGAGGAGAAGACGCCCAAGGAAGAGCCTCAGAAAAAACGTGATCACCTTGACCTTGATGTCATCCTGGTCGACAAGAACAAGCCCGAACAAGAGCCTCACCACTGTGATGCCATGCCTGAGGATCAGAACAAGCCCAAGGAAAAGCCTGACAAAAGTGTCCACCCTGATAGCCAGAACGAGCCCAAGGAAAAGCTTGACAAAAATGATCACTGTGATGCCATGCCTGAGGGTCAGAACAAGCCCAAGGAAAAGCCTGACAAAAGTGTCCACCCTGATGCCATGCTGGAGGACCAGAACGAGCCCAAGGAAAAGCCTGACAAAGGTGTCCACCCTGATGCCATGCTGGAGGACCACAACGAGCCCAAGGAAAAGCCTGACAAAGGTGTCCACCCTGATGCCATGCTGGAGGACCAGAACGAGCCCAAGGAAAAGCCTGACAAAAGTGTCCACCCTGATGCCATGCTGGAGGACCAGAACGAGCCCAAGGAAAAGCCAGACAAAAGTGTCCGGAAGAAGTCCAAGGGAGAATGCAAGGAAAAACTTGCAAAGAATGAGAAGAAACCAACGGCTAAGGCCAGTGCAAAGGGACAGGCAAAGGCAAAGGTGAAGCCAACCAGTAAGATTGGCATCGTCAAGAAGGATCTCAAAAAGGACAAAAGTGCGACAAAGAAAATGGAGAAGGCCACCACTACTGAGGACCCAAGTGAGATGAATGATGAGACATTGAAAAAGAAACTCCACAGTGTGTCTTCGCCGTTAAGTTGGACAGCTTTCACCTTTATTTCCACAAATTGAGTATATATTTTCCGACTTGATTCAAAAGACAACCTCATGTTTTCTCTTGACTGATCCCAGGTGTATTCTTGCGCTTATTCGACAGCAAGAAATGAAGGCACATCCCGAGAGAAGTCTCGTGAAATTGCCATTGCAAAGCGAGCGGAGTGTCTAGTCTTTCAATTTGATTCCCTGACCGCTATTTTGCCCACATACAAACAGTATGAACTTAATCTTACTTCCACCATCTTCCACTAAGGTGGGTGAAGAGCAATGGGTCCCGCAGCAGCCCTTTGGTCCAGAAGTGGCTGACAATGGAGTGAGGTGCTGATTTGAAAATTTGTGACAAGGGGTGTGCGCGACAGCTACTATGCTGTGATGTGTATTTAGTTTCCAGCTTCTCAGGGGATTTGCCCATTTGTGGCATGCGATGGATCTGACAGCTTGCAGATGAAAAAGCGTGTTTATCTCACAAGAGCCACTCTTACAATCTGTGTGTGAGTGTGATGCTATGTTGTGTTTGCAGTGTGTTGTCATGGTATGCTATGCATGCCACATCTGAGGTTTCTACAACCCAACATCCCTCATGTGAGCCGAGGATCTCTATTCCCAAGATAGTCCATTGGCCAGGCAACTCATCCAGTCCATTGCCAGGCAACCACATGATAGGATAATGTTTGGGGATCTTGGTGGCCAATTGCTTGGTCTGGTGGATATATCAACTTGATGGTCACTATTTATTCATACTATATAATATATGGTTCGATCTTCATACATATATCGTCATACAATTCAGTCTGACTCTGAGCCAGCTGCGAGAAAAGGACTCACTGTGTGGATGCAAGGACCTGATTCCTTTTGGCCAAGGTCCCACATGCCATGACATGGCTTTATAGCTATTCATCATAAAACAATCTATTTGATGAAGAAAGATATATCTATTTTGATGTTGAATTATCATATTCTAAAACCAACATCATAATTATGATATTGATTATGTTGTTGATGATGATGACGATGATGATGATAAGCCATGTGCACAGGTGAGTGAGTGAGAGAGTGGGTGAGTGATGTGAGTGTGGTGTGTGTGAGTGAGATATGTGAGAGTGAGTGAGTGAGTGAGTGAGTGAGTGAGGGAGGGAGGGAGTGAGGGAGGGAGGGGGAGGGAGTGGGTGGGGGTGAGTGAGTGAGTGAGTGAGGGAGGGAGGGAGTGAGGGAGGGAGTGAGTGAGTGAGTATAGAGTGAGTGAGTGAGGAATAGAGGGAGGCAGGGAGTAGAGGGAGTGAGGGAGGGAGGGAGTGAGTGAGTGAGTGAGTGTGAGAGAGAGAGAGAGAGAGAGTGAGAGTGAGAGTGAGAGTGAGAGTGAGAGTGAGAGTGAGAGTGAGAGTGAGAGTGAGAGTGAGGGAGTGAGAGTGTGAGTGAGTAGAGGGAGGGAGGGAGGGAGGGAGTGAGTGAGTGAGAGTGAGTGAATGATTGAGTGAGTGAGTGAGTGAGTGAGTGAGTGTGAGTGAGTGAGTGAGTGTGAGTGAGTGAGTGAGTGAGTGTGAGTGAGTGTGAGTGAGTGAGTGAGTGAGTGAGTTACTGCGCCTGCGACGCAAAAAGCAGCGGAGACCAAGGGACGCCAGGGCGTACATCCGACCCCTTGCAGAGCACCAAATGCTGTGCTTGCCACGCAAAAAGCAGCGGAGACCAAGGGACGCCAGGGCGTACATCCGACCCCTTGCAGAGCACCAAATGCTGCGCCTGCCACGCAAAAAGCAGCGGAGACCAAGGGACGCCAGGGCGTACATCCGACCCCTTGCAGAGCACACCAAATGCTGCGCCTGCCACGCAAAAAGCAGCGGAGACCAAGGGACGCCAGGGCGTACATCCGACCCCTTGCAGAGCACCAAATGCTGCGCCTGCCACGCAAAAAGCAGCGGAGACCAAGGGACGCCAGGGCGTACATCCGACCCCTTGCAGAGCACCAAGTGCTGCGCCTGCCACGCAAAAAGCAGCGGAGACCAAGGGACGCAAGGGCGTACATCCGACCCCTTGCAAAGCACCAAATGCTGCGTCTGCCACGCAAAAAGCAGCGGAGACCAAGGGACTCCAGGGCGTACAACCAAATGCTGCGCCTGCCACGCAAAAAGCAGCGGAGACCAACGGACGCCAGGGCGTACATCTGACCCCTTGCAGAGCACCAAATGCTGCGCCTGCCACGCAAAAAGCAGCGGAGACCAAGGGACGCCAGGGCGTACATCCGACCCCTTGCAGAGCACCAAATGCTGTGCCATGCCATGCAAAAAGCAGCGGAGACCAAGGGACGCCAGGGCGTACATCCGACCCCTTGCAAAGCACCAAGTGTTGCGCCTGCCACGCAAAAAGCAGCGGAGACCAAGGGGCGCCAGGGCGTACATCCGACCCCTTGCAGAGCACCGAATGCTGCGCCTGCCACGCAAAAAGCAGCGGAGACCAAGGGACGTACATCCGACCCCTTGCAGAGCACCGAATGCTGCGCCTGCCACGCAAAAAGCAGCGGAGACCAAGGGACCCTGGGCGACATCCGACCCCTTGCAGCGCACCGAATGCTACGCCTGCCACGCAAAAAGCAGCGGAGACCAAGGGACGCCAGGGCGTACATCCGACCCCTTGCAGAGCACCAAATGCTGCGCCTGCCACGCAAAAAGCAGCGGAGACCAAGGGACGCCAAGGCGTACATCCGACCCCTTGCAGAGCACCAAATGCTGCGCCTGCCACGCAAAAAGCAGCGGAGACCAAGGGACGCCAGGGCGTACATCCGACCCCTTGCAGAGCACCGAGTGCTGCGCCTGCCACACAAAAACCAGCGGAGACCAAGGGACGCCAGGGCGTACATTCGACCCCTTGCAGAGCACCAAGTGTTGCGCCTGCCACGCAAAAAGCAGCCATGAGTGAGTGAGAGAGTGAGTGAGGGGGCTGTGAGTGGGTGTGAGAGGATGGGGACGGGATAGGTGAGCGGACGGGAGGGAGGGACGAGGGTTGAGTGGGTTGAGAGGGACTGTTGAGTGACGTGTGGGGTGAGGGAGGAGGGAGGGATGGGAGCCGACGGGAAGGGCGTGAGTGAGGGAGGAGGGAGAGTGAGTGACGCGTGAGTAGAGTGAGAGTGAGAGGAGTGAAGTGAGTGAGTGAGAGTGAGATGAGGGTGAGTGAGGTGAGGGTGAGTGAGGGTGAGTGAGGGTGAGTGAGGGTGAGTGAGGGTGATGTGAGGGTGAGGTGTGTTCGAGTGAGTGAGTGAGAGTGAGTGAGGGTGAGTGAGTGAGGGTGAGTGAGGGTGAGTGAGGGTGAGTGAGGGTGAGTGGGTGAGTGAGTGAGTGAGTGAGTGAGAGAGAGAGAGAGAGATAGAGAGAGAGAGAGAGTGAGTGAGAGAGAGTGAGAGTGAGTGAGTGTGAGTGAGTGAGTGTGAGTGAGAGAGAGTGAGAGTGAGAGTGAGAGTGAGAGTGAGAGTGAGAGTGAGAGTGAGAGTGACAGTGAGAGTGAGAGTGAGAGTGAGAGTGAGAGTGAGGGTGAGGGTGAGGGTGAGGGAGTGAGAGTGAGAGTGAGAGTGAGAGTGAGAGTGAGAGTGAGAGTGAGAGTGAGAGTGAGAGTGAGAGTGAGAGTGAGAGTGAGAGTGAGAGTGAGAGTGAGAGTGAGAGTGAGAGTGAGAGTGAGAGTGAGAGTGAGAGTGAGAGTGTGAGTGAGTGAGTGAGTGAGTGAGTGAGAGAGTGAGAGAGTGAGAGAGTGAGAGAGTGAGAGAGTGAGAGAGTGTGTGTGTTTGTGAGTGAGGTGAGTGAGGTGAGTGAGGTGAGTGAGGAGGAGGACGGGCGAGGAGGAGGAGGAGGAGGAGGAGGAGGAGGCGGATACAGAACTAAAAACAAAAACCCCACACGTCAATGTGGGGAACAAAGTGTTGATTAATATGTGCGATTTGTTCTTTATCTCCAAGGTCCTGAGTTGTCGAATTTTAAGGCATTTTTTTTGTTGGGTGGGAGGCTGGGTAGATTGTGGCACCCCGTTTTCTTGCATTGAAGGTTTTGGCAGGATGTCCCAATTCGAAAAAAACAGCAGTTCATATGTTCATTGATGCATTGAGGGGTGTTTGTTTTTCTTTTTTCAACTTCGTTTACATGGTGGAAAGGCAAAATTTCAATACCCAAACGTGATCATGGGCAGGAGCTTCGCGCATCGCCGTACCTTTGCAACAAAACATGCTTTACTTCGAGTTATTCCCACCGTGACAAATTATTCTGCCACAGTTTCTGACATCTCATCTGGAAGTATATATATATATATATATTATTCTGACATTCTAATCTGGCATTCTACCTGGCATCTATTCTGACATCCTATCTGGCATCCTTTTCTGGTATCTATTCTGATATTTTCTCTGGCATTCTATCTGGCATCTGTCCTGACATTCTTTCTTCTGGCATTCTTTCTGGCATCTATTCTGGCATTCTCTCTGACATGGGCACTGCGATCTGCCGCTTACGGTTGATGTCCGGCAGTGCCCACTGCGATCTGGAGCTCGCGGTTCCTGTCTGGCAGTGCCCATTGAGATCTGGAGCTGGCGGTTGAGGTCCGGCAGTGCCTACTGAGATCTCAACCTCGAAGGATGAGGAGGAGGAAGAGGAGGAGGAAGTAACTCTGATGAGAACTAGAGACCCTCACGTGGCAGGTGGGGAACTATGATGTTTTCTGAAAAACGGCATCCCCGAACCATACACATTTGGACTGTTTGATTGCATAGTGAAACCTAGTGCTTCCCATGTTTTGAATCCGAAATGGACAGTACAAACTGACGGTCCAGTTCTACTCGCGAATTTTAAGCAAGTTTCAACTTGGATCTGGAGCTGACCAAATGTTTAAAATTTTTCGGTCTGAGAATATGGGTCAAAATCCTGAGAGCCTTGGGGACCGTTGAAATGAGTTTGATTTATGGATGTTTACTCTTCCAGATAATCGTGTTAACATGCGGTAGGGGTGTTACGGTCACAGTTTAAAACCCATTCCCATAAGATGATGATGATCATAATTATTATATTGTTTATGGATCCGTTTCCATTCCTGCAATTTCCTCTTGAGAAGGGTGTTGATGTGTACCATGTGCAAAGGAATCTCAATACCTACTACTGTCAGGGACTAGAACAGTCTATACAAATCAGCGTGTGCATTCGCGACTAAGCCAGAAAGTGCAAGAAATGGTCTACGAGACAGGTTTAGGGAACCCCGACTATGTGATGGGAAGAACCTATGGGTCTCGGGTCTTGCGAAAGGAACTGTCTTCAAAGCACCCCAGGCAACACAGGTACTTGTTAGCGGTTTGAGTCAATTATGCTCAAAATATCTAAAAATCACTTTTGGTGATTAAATGGGTTTGTCTGAAAATAAAGTGCGCCAAGAAAATGATGTTTAATCACCTGAAGTATGGGATTGATTCATTACTGGCGAATCATGCTGAAATTTCCCCCAGTCCGCTGGATTCAGGCATAACATTGCCCTGGCCTTTATCAACTTTGTAAATCACCAGTCTGCCAGGACGGAGGTGGCTGTTCAACCTCCTGCTGTTGGTTAGAAAAAAAGATTTCCGACCAGGTGACTAGGATCTAGGATTTTCTAGGTCTTAAGTATGATTTTGAAATTGGGAAGAGGACCCTGAGTTCCCCAGTCATGAAGAGAAAACAATTTGGAAGTTTTCAGCATGAAACATACCAGCGGAATTGGCCTTATGTTGAATCGTGTTCGTGGATCGAAAGACCGACCCCTCACTGACAATTGCCTGCGATGGCTATGACATGGCTTCATCAGAAGGTACCAATGGAAATCCCATGTTAGTCATGTGTCATACCCAAGGTCAGTTTTTTTTGCGCCGACAATTTTAATCAATTTTGGCCCACCATTTTGTAAACATTCCGTACAGGTTGATACATTTTGATGACATGTATCTACACTGAGATGAAAAGAACATGAAATAACTATTGTCTTTGAATAACGACCAATCCAGCATTCTTACAAAAACATATCATGCCCCGACGTCAGGAAAATATGTATTAATGGGATTCGAGTACGTCTGAAAAAAGGTGTAGGTTCAATGGTTCAGAAACTTAGTGGGATATGTCCAGACAATATTGCAGGTTGAGGTTCTTCAATGCTACTAGTTGCAGTTTTTTTGTTTCCATTTTTTTGAGATTATGATCCCAACTAATATTAAATATGTTTGGGGTGTGTTGAAAGCAGCAATCATTCCATTTTGGCCACGGCAAAGTGGTATACCTCCAGCACTCTCCATATCTCGCCACGTCAGGACAGTGTATGATACATTCATGCGACGGGACAGACATCGCGCAGGGCCCTGGCATCGTACGCAGGCAGCACCAGGCAACATGCAGGTGCCGCGGTGGACATCGGTGGACGGTGCCGCTCGATTTCTTGATGCGGCCGAGCGGGCCGAGATTTCTAGTGATTCAAGTCTTCTTTGATCTATGAAAAATTGAAAAATGAAGGGAAAAGTGGTGGAATGTCTAGCAAATTTGTTCTGGTTTCATGCTGAAGTTCTCAGATGTGCATCTCAGCCCCTATAATAAGATAAGCCATCATGCATCTTATTATGTTGTACATATTATAAGATATGCATTTTCCAGCCCCTTATGCTGTGTGAAATGCTTGTAGTGCTGGAAAATGGCCCTGTCACCGTGGCCAAGCAAGGAAAAAACTCCCGATTCTGGGAGGTGCCCAAAAATCTTCGGAGACTTTCTGCATGTTGGGCTTTGCAGTTAACGCCCTTTACCAATTATAGGCAATTATAACTTCATGTATGAAAACCCCATTTATAATCCTGTATAACTGTATAACCGGTTTTCAGTGCTTTCTCTGTGCCAAGAGTGAATTCTCTTCTAACACTAAAAACACGTGGGCTTCTTGCATTCTGGGTCACCATCACTCCCACTTGGGGCCATTTGGTTTTGGGGGATACAGCCACAAATACCCGCAGGTTAGCCTGAGATAGCTATACAACGACATGCAATCACCGCATTGCAATTTATTGTAATGGCAAGGGAAGTTATGCCCAGATTGCCTTATTGCAAGTTATTCGTTTTGTCAGCACATTATTAGTAGTAGTAGGAGTACTAGATGACAGTAGATAGTAGATACTGTAATTACCATTACATATGCATATGTTCAAAATTGATATCCATGGTAAAATGAGAAAACCATCTAATTAATGGCGATTATTCCGTGCACCTCTGCAGTTTCCCTATAAAAATCGCCGTCCGTTCTCCGCGAGCCTGGTAGCTTCCCGTTAAAGACCGCAACGGAGTTTATGAGGTTTTGGCGCAACAGGGGTAACACAACGGGGAGACACAACGGGGAGACACAACGGGAAGACACAACGGGAAAATGATGGAACATGAGAAATGTCATATTTATAAATAAGAAAAAGCTGCTTGTGTAGAATATTAAAATTTTGAAATAGTGCATATTTGCTTAATAGTTTGATACTACAAAAAAAACTGATTTCTATCCATAAATTATGTCCACAATCGGTTTGAAAACATTCAGTGGTTCATTTTCAAGATATTGCAATGAAATTTTAAACGATTGTTGTTTCAAAATATTGTTGTCAAATATGTTGAAAATGATATCTCAATACATAAACATGTCCACAATCAGTTTTAAATCACTCAGTGGTTCATTTTCAAGGTATTGCAATAATATGACATTTTATTTTTTCAAAATATGTTTGTCAAAATACGTATGTTTAAAATGATATTTCAATCCATAAAAAATGTCCACAATCAGTTTTAAAACACAAAGTGTTCACTTTCAAGGTATTACAATGAAATGTTAAAAGATTTGAGTGCGATTTAAGGGACATAGATGGCGCGAATCATTTTTGCACCCATCGAAAATTGTTATGGCGTTTGAATGGGATTTAAGGGACATAGATGGCGCAACTCATTTTTTGGATAAAAAATCTAGTGGGATTTGAACGGGATCTACTGCATGGGATGTTTGTTAGCCAACAGTGGCAGTGGCAGAGTAGCGAAGATTATCCCTCACTTCAGGATACCCATATATACAGTATATATATATAATTATATACAATACAATACAAACATGTGTACTCTACAGTATAAACATAAAAATGATCGGACATGTAGCAAACTTAGTAAACTATACCCTTATGTCCATCTACTGGGGTGGCAGTTGCGCAACCTACCTTTTCATTTTAAAGTAAGTTAGTCATCCAATATGCGCTATTCTGGGGCGTTTTTTTCTTCAATTGGATCTTTGACACAAGCCACATAGATGGCGCAACTCATTTTATGTTCCAGACAAAATAGCACCGTTTTCTTCCTCACCGCGCGGTGCATCTTATGGGCATTTTGGTTTTTGAGTTGCGCCATCTATTCTGCGGGGAGTGTAGTAGTTAGTAGTCAGTGGTTGGACCACTGCCCGCAACAGCCCGTGGGTATTTTAGTGCATTTTTGCTTGCTTCTGTTGAATGCGTTGTCTTGGAACTTGCGTCACGTCAACATGGGGTCAGGGTTGGGCGGATGTGTTAACGTTCCTGGCACTTGCGTGTTGAGAATGATGCTACACTACCACACGTTGTCTTGGAACTTGCATCATGTCACCATGTGGTCAGGGGTCGACGGGTATGGTAACGTTCCTGGCACTTGCGTCTTGAAGATGATGCTACGCTACAGCACGTTGTATTTCGAACTTGCGTCATGTCACCATGGGGTCAGGGGTGGGCGGGTGTAGTTGTAGTAGTAGTAGTAGTAGCAGTAGTAGTAGTAGTACTAGTAGTAGTAGTAGTAGTAGGAGTAGTAGTAGTAGTATTATTATTAGTAGTATTATTATTAGTAGTAGTAGTAGCAACACGAGGAGTAGTAGTAGTAGTAGTCGTCGTCGTCGTAGTAGTAGTAGTAGTATTAGTAGTAGTAGTAGTAGTAGTAGTAGCAATAGTAGCAGTAGTAGTAGTAGTAGTAGTTGTAGTATCATTACCATTATCATTTTGATGATTTTTATGGTTAACTAATTTATATAAGTTTTTATTCAGTTCAATTTTCACACAGCTGGTGTCTCCTTGAAGCACTCTGTCGCTGTTTTCGTACCGCAGTAGACATTTAGCTGGCAACATGGGACTTCATGTAGTGCAAAACAAGTACCAGAAGTATTTGGTATATCTCCAGCCCATTAGTGTTGGATCGTAAAGGCCTCTTGCTACATACCAACCACAAAAGTCCTCTTGTTGGTGGTGCCAGTTGCCTGTTGATGGATCCTTTTTGCACAGTGCCAGTTGTATTGTGAAGTTGAGCTATACGTATAATACATTGCATACATACCCGTGATATATATATATATCTCATGTATTTTTTTGTTTTTAAATAAACACATATGTCATATGTCATGTATCTATACACGGAAAGAGTATTACATGCCTACATCCTAAGTTTGTTCCAGTCATATATGCCCATTAGTTGGATCTTGTTGGGTCCATCCATGACAGTTCAATTTTGTTTGGTTATATCCCAAGTCTTATCAAAAGGAAAGTTGGTGATACCTTCTCATGCTCGGTTGCGCGACCCAAGTTTGGTTGAGGCCTTTTTTTTCTAGGTAGAGAGTCCGGCGTCCGGAAGGGCAAAATTCGCCACCAGTTTTTCAATATATTCAATGGGGATTGGTTAAAACATGTTAGAACCTACAATTTGCCATATTTTGGGTGGAGGCATATCAATAACGACTAACTATTTTGATGTGAACAGAAATTGCCTCCAGCTTCCATCCAGCATCACGATCGTTAGGGATCATTCCAGAGTTGGTTTATGATTGGTTATTTTCATGACAACTTAATTTCTGGGATAGTCATGGTTGCTGCATAACGGTTAATATGTATGATATATACATTTATTTTTAATATATATATATATACATTGGTTATCCTCCAGTAATCTATGAAATAATCCGTAGACTGGACACCCCATATTTTGATTAGATTAAAGAAGAATATGTTCATTCCAATATGGGGATTTTTAAGACGGCTAGCTTGATTACCAGAGGTTATTCCATTCAATTTGGTACCTTCCTCAGTGTGACACCCACATTCTCAATATTTTGATAGATGAATTACCTTCCGAATTGTGCTTGTTTGTTTCCCCTTCTTTGGTTGAAGATCTAGCCTCTTTATTTGATTGGCACCTTTCAAAAGCCCACCCATACACCATTAAAATCGGATGTCGGGGCTGTGGTTCTTAATTTGCCTTTATATATCTATACCCCCCAATACACGTAGATAAATTACATCCAGGTAAAGTTGTTTATCACATGTTTTCTGAGTTAAAGACAAGTTGTTTTAAAAGGTGAATTTTCAGTGTCGCTGTTCGAGCGCCATGTTTTGTCGATCTTAGCCACAGGGCCTTAGCGCCAACTTATCCTACTTCCTGGTGCGTTTTGGTGTGGAGGCAACTTCCCGGGGCAGGGAGTTTTCTGCTTCCGTATGGACCTCATCCGATTTGTTTTTGGTATGTTGGTGAAGACAGATTTTATGGGCGCAACTGAAAAGAAGTCCGGGCCAAAGGTCTTTCTTGAGTGAGATACACCATGTTTTCTCACTTGCCAGGGGAGGGTCTTTAGACTTTGTGTCAGCTTGCTCCGCTTGCTCCTCCTCCTTCTCCATCTCCTCTCCTTCACCCTCCTTCGTCCTCCTTCTCACTCCTCACAGCAATGCTGGAGAGGATGACCGAGACTTTGTCAGATAGATTGTCAGAATACATGCCAAAAAGCAGTCAAAACCTATGTGACATGGAGTGTCAACACATATGCATATGTGTAAGATCAAATTTAATACGAAATGTTAGAACATATGCCAGATAGTATCACAGATAGAGTTCAAATAGGTGATTGGGAAACATGTCAGGTGAGTAGTCAGAAAACTTGTCAGATAAATTGCGACAAAATATGCCAGATAGAATATCAGAACAAATTGCCAGATAATATGTCAGATAGAATGCCAGACGGAATGTCGCATAAAATGTCCGATAGAAAGGCAGGTAGAATGCCACAAAAAATGTCAGGCAAAATGTGAAATACAGTAGAATGCCAGATAATGAAAAAACGCAAGGTAGAATATCAGAATGATTCAGAATGTATGCCAAATAAAATGTCAGATGGAATATCTTGTCAGATGGAAAGTCTTATCAGATAGAATGTCAGTTTGTCAGGAGAGGGCGTGTAAGATTTTATGTTTGCTTGCTTCTTTTCCCCTCTCCCCGTCCTCCTCTAGCAGACTGGGTCTCCCCGGGTCCCGCCGGACCCGATCCCTATGCCAGGCAAAGTACCAACATATTTGCAGATTATATTTTCTCAGATAGGATTTCAAATAGAATGCCAGGAAAAAAAAACATCCGAAAATAATATGCCAGATAGCAGCAGTGCCAGAAGAATATTTGCCACATAACATGTCAGATAGAAT